TTAAACTGCATTGTTTCAATGTCTGTTTCATTATTTGAGCTTGAAATTCAGCTGTAGAAAATATACAAGTTTTTCTTGAAATTGCTGGAGTGTAACTAACACAAATATTAAYGACCTCAGCATATACTCGTTTTGCATCTTTAGCTCTTTGTAAGAAAATAGTTCCTACTGAYTCGCTTCTTAAAAATCCAGAAGCATTTTTGTCGAAAGACCTGTTTAGCCCGTYGGATGACAACAAACCTAAATCACGAAATGTATACAACCAAAAATTATTAATAAATTAGGAAAATATTCATTTGATAATGTAGAAATTTTCATTATTATTTATATGATCAAATTACAAGAAACAGTTGCCTTTTTTTTCTTTATATGTAAGTACTRGAAGTAATTATTCTTGACATACTCTTATTTTACCTAATTCAGAGAGTTGATAGGATGTTTTAGAAAGTAAACTTAAGGCTCCACTACATACAATCGCATTATCGCATTCTCTAGCTTTAATAGCTTGGTAAGCTTTTTGAATTGCTACTGCACTTGATGTGGAATTTGAATCAATACTACAGCTTGATCCAATTAGACTCATAACAAATGAAATCCGATTTGATAGCATAGCACGGCAATTACCAGTCAAAAAATATCCATCTTTCTATTATGAAAATAAAGCAAACTATACATAAAGTTTATTTACATTTATATGGAATCCATTATATGAATCTATTAACTTACCTTTTCTTTAATGTTTGTAGTATTAACATCTGACTCATATAAACTCAATACCCCGTAAACATTGATTTTCTTGTCGCGTAGCTCTGCARGATTTATTCCAGCATCAATGATTGCTTCAAACGTAGTTTCAATTGCAATTCTTGATTCTGGCGACATATTATTTGACTGTAATGTACTAATTCCAAAAGAGACATTGTCGAATTTCGTTAAACCAGAAATTATTCCTAAACAAGATGGTATTTTAGACATAGGATCTAGAAAAAAATCATGTGTGCAGATCACACGTGTTAAAAGCGAAACCTTCAAAAATCTACGTTTCGAGAGAATGAGACGAATGCACAGTTTCAAGAGTAAGATAATTGTAGGATTTATATAATATAATATTATTACCATATATAATACAGATCACCGGTATGGTCTCTTGGTGGAATAGCTGATAAAAAGTACACTTTTCCAAATTCAAGCAATAAAAATGGAATGTTAAGTGCGATAGTCGTAGATAGGCACCAAAATCGTAGGATATTTATCGAGGAAAATATAATGCGTCGTAAACTAAGTAAATATAGAATATCCTTTTTGTGAAACTCAGATATAAAATTTTATTTGTTAGGATGGTTTTCATCATTCACAAACATTTTAGGAATGA